GTGTGGGTTGCAATCCTTGGTTTGTAGCCTAGCCTCTTGACCTCTTGAAACAAATTTAGGCTTGTCTGGAAATGTAAATCAAATGGAATCATTTAGCACTGAAAAGCCATATTTGAATTTGCAGTGGCTGTTTATTAGGTTTGAGATTCAGAAAAATAAAATGCGTGTCTAAGCTGCAACTATGATTGCTTGTTAAATTTTCTTTAATGTGAGTTCTGGCCAGCGGGAATAATGATGCATTCATTAATTTGTTACAGGCAACACTACCTCCAGTGTCCACAAGATTTGTTAGGCAAGCATTTTGAAAAGCTTATTCAATGTGATCCTCGCCTCAATTGTCTGAGCCAACAGCCAGAAATTGTGTTAGAATCTCCATATTTTGAACCTGGAGTCTCTGCCTACAATGACCCTAACAATGGGATTGCTTTAAGAAGTGACAGTGGACCAACTATCTTTGGTGTACAGGTGACAGGATCTCCATCTGCAAGTCAATCTTCTCAATGCATTAATGAACAAGATTTTGTCAGTAGAACTCCAGAAAATCTTTACCAGCAAACTCCATCACCATGTTCAGGTAATAACTGTGAACTGAGGGAAAACTCTTGTTTAAATGATGATATTTATCTATAACCATGATCTATTATGCTGATGATAGCACTCCTACATTTTCACCAAAGGTGGAAACTTTAGTGTCTACTTCTGCTATTCTCGTGCCGTCCTATCTTTCTCCAGGGATGGTTTTTGTCTTATCGTATGTGCTTAAGATTCCTGTTATTTAACGGCAAGTCCTGTACGATAACTAAAGATTTTCACAGATTGCATTTGAGGCCTAATGTTTGAACTGAAATGCAGGCATTCTTTGATAAACCTGTTATATTAAGTTGGAATCTTAGTTGTTATGTTTTAATTTTAATACTATGAGTGAAACGTGCTTTTGATGCTAGAAATCTCCTAGAAAAGGATTTGTCATGTGGGCACAGGTTTCTTTTTGAAGCTTATGACTGAAAGAATTTTTGGACACTAAAAAGCACAAGAATAAAATAGCTTAGGCATACCACCATCTCTATATGACTGCTTTAAAAACTTAGCCTTTTATGCTTGTAGTACTTCTGCTTTATCTTCCAGCCATTGTTATGAAAACTCACAAGTCTGTGTATTCAAAACCAAAAGTAGCTTGAAATTATTTGTGGGAGTTTTGCTTTTAGCAACAAAGAAGGGAAATTCTTTGTGTTGGGACAGACTAACTGCTCCCTCCGTCCCAAAGTAGCTGTTATTTTTTGACTTCGAATTTGTCACAAATTAATTCTCCTTTTTTCATTTTTTAAGGTAGATAAGTATTTCTTTTCCTACTTTAACCTTATTATTATCTATTCACTTTAATTAATCATCCAATCACAAAAAATCTTTTTTTATTTTTTAGTTCCTTTTTAAGGGTATTATAAATAGATACAAATATTGTCCCTGAGTCCTTAAGTTGGGAAAAAAGTCAAAAAACAATAGTTATTTTGGGACAAAGGGAGTATTTTCCTAATAAAAGGAAATTTTAGATTTAGTGCATTTCATAGTAATCTGACCATTTTGCAAACCTTGATAGTTGTTTGATAAAATTTAAAGGTAAATGGAATGTATTGATCACTTAGAATGTGAGATAAATTACTGTGGTATATATTGTTCTTATGAAATTCATTGCATTAACTGGATATTTGCTATCTTTTATTTGTAGTAATGGATACTCATGCAATTGAAGAAATCAGGAGCACTAGAACCACAGGTCCCAAATCACTCAGCCAATGGGATCTCAGTAGATTTCCTGGGCTGCGTCCATCTATGTCAATGTCTGATCTAGTGAATCATATTGGACATTGCATTTCTGAGCAGATAACATCCAACAATCCCATCTTTTCCATTGATGACCAACAAGGCAAAGACATTTTGGAAGAGATCACCCAATACTTGCTCAGTGATTCTCAGCAAACATCTGCCTCTGTTGACCAGTCTCTCATGTCAAGGGTCAATTCGTTATGTTGCCTTCTGCAGAATCCGTCTGACATGGCACCTAACTTGCAGGCCAAGGATGATGCTGTTAATGTACAAGGTGATGGTAAAATAGGTGAAAGTAGCTTAGTTTCTGCATCAGCAGGCAGGAGTAACGTAACAGAGGGTTTTCCTGTTTCTGTTGATGAGTCTGGTGATAGTTCTAGTTGCAAGCAGCCACAGTCAATGCTAAGGAAGGACTCTGTTAGTGATCTTCTTCTTCTTAACCTTCCAAGGATAGCATCTCTCCCACAGTTCTTGTTCAACATCCCTGAAGACAATGACAATCAGGCTCGAAGATGATGAACTTATCTGATCTTTGTGGTGAAAAGCTAGAACCCCAAGTTATTTTCTGCTTGGCACCTGATAAAATTTTCTATCTTGGGGATTCAGAGAGTTACATGGATGAAGAATTCCTCACTTGCACGCACCAGAACCGTTGTTTGCTTGTTCACTTTATTATCTCTTTGTAAATATGTCTATGTCGACGGATGGACGCTTTTGCACCCGTGTTTGTAGAATATTTTCTGTTCTCTTTCAAGGTGGAAAAAATTCATTTCCTTTTGTGTCCATTCCATGGCTTGAAATCTACCTAGCATAGAAAGAGGACTGGTTGGTGCTCAGATTCTAGCAGATTTCAGGCTCAATACATTCTTGACATGAAAATTGAAACAACTTAAGAGATTCCAAGAAGACATCAACAAATAACCGTATTATTTACTAATATATAATTTGATATGAGACCTGAGACGTACATCTAACAAGCACTAACAAGCATGGGTACTCAACCCAAAACAAGCTACAATCTATTGACCTATTTATTCCCCACACCTCTTCTTGGAATATATATTTGCATGTATCTTTCTTCCTCCACTTTTGAGACAAATCTGCAAAAGAATAAACAAACCATCTATAAAATTAATAAGAAACTACACGATTATGGCTCATCTGGGTTTTCATCACCCATTGTTTCATTTTCCTGCACCATGTTCATCAGCATGTTTATCTGATCATGCAGCATTGCATTTTCTCTCTCTACCGCAGCACGTTTACTTCTTTCTTCTATTAGCTGGAGCTGCAGATGTTCTAAACACCTTGAATCCTCTTCTAACTGCTCATTTAGGCCATCAATTTCCCTGTCCTGCAAAATTAACAATTGTTGGTTCACTTGCAACTTCAAATCTCATACTCAGCAAGGATACATGTGAATCTACATATTGAAATCCCCAAAAAACAGACACATCAATGAGTTCATGTTAAAGAAGAGAACCTTTCTGTTCATTTCCTGGACTGCAATCCTCCTCATGCTCTCTACAACATCAACATTAACCAGCTTCCGCTTCTTTCCAATCAACCATCCTTTGGGATAGCTTGCAGCATCAAAGTCTGGTGGAGGTAGTAATGATTCTGCTGAGGGTCGTTTGTTGTTTACAGGCTCCAGAGGCTCAAACAGAGCCTTTCGACGCTCAGAAAGCACAGGTTCTGTAGCTGGTTCTGGTACATTCTCTTTATCCAAAGTTACTTCCTGTTTGGTGGGGGATCCATTAGCAGTTTCTTCTGCTTCCTTGTCTAAATTCATCCCGGTAGCTGTTGAGAAGAAGTTAACCATTCCAATTGTAGATAATCCATAACATATAGAAACTCAAATCACATGACAGATGTCATTCCTCCCTACAGACCATTACATTATAACTATTGGGCAATCTGCTCTGAACTTGTTGAGGGAGTGATCTCATGCTTGGTAAAGGGGTTTGCTTTCGGTCTTGTCAGGGCACAGGAGGTTAATTAACTTAATTTCATGTAAATCCCTTAGTCTAGCGTGGATGAAAAAAATGGAAATTTTGAGAAACAAACCAACAAGGCAAAAAAAAAAGTAAAATAAAGGTGATTTTTTTTTTTTTGGGTTTTTTTAACCTGTGCCCAAAGGGCACAGAGTAAGAATCTTAAAAAAATCAAAAATAATATTTAATTTATCAACTGTTTAATTAAATTTACGCATACGGTACAATCCCAAAATGAACTACATTACAGCATTCTCTAAATTCAAAATTGTTACTACTTCTTAAACTTGTTAAGGTTTCTACCCACCCAAACCAAATCCCGTTAGGTGAACGTACATAAATCAAAGCCAAATCATTCAAAACCATAGCTATAACTAACAAGAAAAAAGCGCGCAAGTCTTCTCCCTATCATCATAATTAATTAATCAAATACACCAACATTCTATAATAAATTCAACTTTAATGCTCCTTAGCTGTCTCCAAAATTATTATAGTATGATTGTAAGAAACTGTTTCACCATTTAGGGGGGTGTTTGGCAGGGGCAAAAAAAACCCACCAAACCAAACATCCCCTTATTTTCTCAACCATCTCCGTTAGCAGTAATCTCAACAGTAACACCGGTGATGATCAGTTGGATGGTACTCAAGTCAAAAGTCGAAAAACAAAAAATGTGAAATAAATGAAACACAAGAAAAATATTTTATAATTCTATACACTATTAAAAAAATAAAATAAAAGAATATTACAAAGGAATCCGAATAAAATATATGGTGGGGAAAAAATGATAAGACAATAAATTATTTAATGACAAGTTTACCCAACCAAACCGATAAATTAACGTAAAAGCGAAGTTAACTGCAAGTCAATCATACTGTATTATCTCTCTATCTTCCCTCGTTCGGAGAAATTACTAGAGCTCTTATGTTCTAATGCTCAAAATATGGTAAATTCAGCTCGAATTCATGGGAAGAAGGTTGAGATCACAGAATTTTGGGACAAAGGTTGTGGATTGGAACAAAATCATGAGGAAAACACAAATATACTGAGTGAATCACACAATTTTCTGATATTTTCCCAAGAATCAAACATGGGATCGAGAGAGAGAGAGAGAGAGAAACAAACCTGATCTCTTCCGAGATTTCCAGAAGATCCTAGTTGTGGAGATTGGGGAGAAGCCTTCCATGGCTGGATCCACCTTGTTGTTGTTTTCCTTCGCCATTGGGAAATTAATTAAGAAGTCTCTCTCCCTGTTATCTAGAGAGAGAGAGAGAGAGAGGGGATGATGGCTCTGTTGGGGGATGCTCTCAGAAAGAAGGAAAGGGTAGAAGATGATTCTTTTCTAAGTTTTTATTTTTTTTTATTTTTTTATTTTGGCTGTTTAGATTTGAAGGAGATAATTTGGGTGTCATAAAAGATGGATGGGAGCATGGGACCATTGGGACTATATGAACGGTTTAGATTTGGCATTTTGGGTGGAAGATTTTATGTCATTAGTTGTCTCTTTGCTTTCTACTTGGGAGTTGGGACCCATGTCCTTTGCTTCACTTTTCATACATTTCTTTCTTTTATTTTTTATTTTATTTTTCTAATTTTTGTGAGTGAAATTTTTTAGATTGATAAAAAATTTATTTTTGATAAAATTCGATCAAAGTTTAGTTTGATGCTCTTTGATTTAGGGGGGGCTGTACCTTTCCCCGGCGTGACAAAAAATGAAAAAAAACAAAGGCCCCTTGTGCTCTGCTGCTCCCTAATTCTTATATTTAGAATTAATCTCTCGGCCTTTCCGGCTGAAGGGTTGGTTCTCGTTTTTCATTTTCAGATTTAGGTCTAAGTATTTCACTCCATTCCTTAGATGGCATTCCCAACGGTTAAGTCTTCATCTTGTATTAAAAAATTTTTTTTGTATAATTTATATTGTATTGAATTATACATTATTAATTATTAAATATAATTAAATTTTTTAATATTAAAAATCTTCTTTTTATTTTATAATTTTTACTTTAAAATCTCGTATAATTTAGATCATAAAATAAACTTTCTTTATGTATTATTGCTATTTTGATTTTTAGTTTTAGTTGTAAAAAGTGTAATTAAAAACCAAAACTGAAATTGGAAATTAAAATAATAAGTTGAAACCGAATTTTGTTTAGTGGTAAAACTTTTCAAAACTTAAAACAAAAATGAAAAACTTGTTTGATTAATTAAGCATGCTTAGTTTAATGTAACGGTACTACATTTTTTACACTTAAAATTAAAAACAAGAAATAATGCATTGAAATATGAAGATAAATGTTGAAAATTTCAAATTTCGGCGAGGGGTTTAGGTCTTGTGTTTTTTTCCTTTTATATAATGATTATTCTTTTATAAAAGTTTAAAAGGTTTGCGTTGGATTACAGGAATTGACTTCATTTAGACAAAACTTTTGTCGTTACGACGGTTGCTCATCCAACAAACTTTAGTAGAAAATATATTATATTGACTATGCTAGGACTAATAATTTCTATCTGTTTTCTGTATCATTAAAACTCATTTAACTGGCCGACCAACCAACTCTTGTTTTATTGTTCACAATAACTAAAGTGAATTATTGCCACATGATACATGCAGCTACTCTCTTCGTGTAATCCTGATTGTATTAATTCTTTTCTAAGTTGAAATTAAGAAACTTCATTGCATTTTCAACCATAATACAAAGAAAAAAACCTGGAGGCATCATCATCAACATCAACATTAATACCATCATCATCATTGTCATTACAAGTTAGTTAGTTCAACATGGTTAAGTAGCAACAATAAGCATGGATAAACTAGCATGGCAACTTTAGGTTGGCTTAAATGCAGTTAACCTACCATCCAATCCAAAAAAACAAACATGCTTTAGATCAGGAGGTATTCACTATTATATTACATATACATTTCATAATGCTCTGATGATTCTGTGGCATATTGTTTGTCTGATATACTATCATCCTGAAATGTGTCACATAAGATTTCCATCAAATTTACCAACTTTTAATCTTCCAAAATATATTCTCCTTTCATCTTCTAACTGTTCTAACCGATGTTGTAACAACATTTTGATCAAAAAACGGAGATTGATTTGAGGAAATGAATGAGAATGTGTTCGTTAATTCTCACCAAGGGCACAGGGAATGCAAGGAGGATTTTTAACTTCATCTTCAGGAGTGATTCGCTGCAAGCATTGGTCATGAAAGCAGTGCCCACATGCCAAAACAGCTACAGCGGGTGGAACGCTTGGTACCAAAACAGGGCCTTCTGGTGTGTATGAAAGATCCCTCTTGCATATCAAACAATTGTACCCACTTAGTTGGGGAACTTTTGGACCTGAAGGAGTTAATCTAATTGTTAGATGCCTACAGTAGAGCCTCATCATCACTAGTTAGTCAAAACAGATACTGTACAAAATAATTGTGCCTCTATCTGTGTTAGCAAGGAAAATTTGTAAGCAGAAAACCAACTAATCCCATATGTTAACCATGTAAATACCGGCATATTTCATATCAAACTTGGCTACATGGATAAAATATGAACTAAGGTACATAGGGTAAGGTGATTGTGTTTTGTGGCCAAGTTGATCCTCTGACACCAGCAAAAAAAGCCAAACTGAAATATGAATTGACATTTCTGGGTCTTTTTATATCTGCTTCTGGCCTAGTCCGATCTTTTTATGTCTGGGTCTACATTATAAATGTTCAGCTTGGAATTGCCGTGTATAGCCTCAAGTCAATACAGGTGTAGGTGCAAATGAAAATGCCAGCACATGATATAGAGAAGCCTCAAGAAATACCTTGCCATTTTACGTGAGGAGTAGAAATCCGGCTTTGCAGAGGATGAGTAACCTGGGCTAGCGATGGGGAAGGGGGAGGAACTTTGCAAATTAATGGTCGGAGAGAATGAGTTGTCTGAGTCACGGGTGGAGAAGGTGCATTCTTGGCAAGAGGAGCAATAGGAGGAGCTGCATAGGCATTCTTCTTGCATTGCACTTGAGGAGTAGGGAGAGAATGAACTGTCTGAGTCAAGGGCAGGGAAGGTGCATTCCAGGCAAGAGGAGCAATAGCAAAAGCTGCACGGCCCTTCTCATTGCTTTGCACATGAGGAGCAGGGAGAGAATGAGCTGTCTGCGTCATGGGTGGGGAAGGTGCATCAACAGGAGCACTTAGAGGTGCTGCAAGGGCTGTCTTCTTGCATTGCACATGAGGAGCAACTAAAGGAGGTTGGATAACTTTCCTCTTGATAGATGCTCTAGCAACATCATTAGAAGTATAAGGTGTGCTTATGCTTTCAACCGGAATTTCTTGCCCTGTAACCATTAGAAGTTAATCACAGGCTCTTGCACTTCTACAAATGACAATTTTATATTTAACCATTCAGCTAAATATTAATTACCAGGTGTAAAATCATGAATAAGAAGCTTATCCGAAGCCTGTAGATGATGAGTGGCTTGAGATTGACAAATGTTGCCTGCAAGCAGTCATCTAGACCCATTTCAAACGATTCTGATCAATATATACAATTACTTGCTTTGTGACTTGATGCTGAGGAAGCCACCTAAGGTCCTAGACTATTTATGCATTAATTATTGAATATTAGACATAATATTAGCAAAAAACAAACAAGTCTCAGAACTGTAACTATTTTTTTTCCATTGATCAGTCATATTATTACATCAGCCTTGTTTTGTTGAACCCCAATAGTAAAAGATAATAAAACAAACAATATTTTGCATTACCAAAGGGATAACAAGATATTTTTATAGCTGCTATCTTGATTCTGAGATTTAACCATGGAAAACTTGTTATGTGGTCAGCACATTTAACCAATATCCAACATAGCTAAGATTTTATAAAAATCCTCAAAGAAAAGAGACTGATAAATTATATACTTGGAATGTGTAGAAAAATATAGAATGCAGAACTATTTCCTGTATTAGGTGATCAAAGAGACAGAACACTAGCAACTTCAGCAGTGCTAGCATCATGGGAAGAGGCTAATATGTATATGGAGTACAGGCAAAATAACTAAGGAGCCTTGAGAAAAAAATATTTATTTTAGTGATAAGAAATCAAAAAAAAGATGTCCAATAGCATACACTTTCTAATTGAATTGTTTAAGAAAAATTGTAAAGAAGAAATTCCAAGAAAAATTTAAACCAGTGAAAAACAAGACAATTTTAAGAGGCATTATAAGAAGAAACAAAATGTCATTCAAGTTGCAAAGGGCATTATGGCTGTGAAAAGATAACTAGGGCCAAGAATGCCTAAAAGAATTAATTAAAATTACCAATGATTAGAGGTTATTGGGTTAGTAAAATGTGGCATAATGAAAATAAGAATATAACCAACTCCAGCTCTGGCCAAAAAAAAAAAAAAAAAAAAAAAAACTCCACTTGCCTGCAAAAACTGTTGGCCAAATATCTTAAACAGATATTGCACTGTAATGAAGTACAATAGATAACATTTCACACAAAATCTAGACATAACATTTCTTGGTTTGTAATTAAGTAAAAACAGGTACTTTTCCAAAGAAGAATAGAAGATCACCCTAACACAAAAATGCCTGGATTACAACATAAGTGAGACAAAGAGTATTATGTGAGGAAAATATTTCATTACAATCTTTCATAAACTCACAGTAAAAACAGAAAGGTTAATCATTATTGTCCTTTTATTCGTATCTATGCTTCAATGACAATAGATTAGCAAGAAACAATTAGACCTTACCAACATATTGGACCTCTAGCTTCCTTGGAAGTGGTCCACCTTTCATAGTCTGAACAGTACACTGAGAATGTGGATGATTTTGAACTGCAGCTAAGGACAAAGTAAGTTCAGAAAAAAAGCCACGAGAAATGTGCATGTAATTCTAATAATTTAGTAACTTAAAATATATATTTCAGTTGATCCTCATTCCAACAAGAAGAATTAAATTCAAAAATGATTTTGCTAGTAATCCTTCATGTAAGTTAATGACATTAAAGCATTCTTAGTCCTAGAAAGAGGATGGCATTTTTAGTGTTCAACTTCTCTCAAGTTCAAATCTTCAGAAAGTGTTCAAGGAATGATGAGGTGGTGGTTGTGTATTATTCAAAGACTTAAAAGGATAACCATGAAATGCTACCCTGCTTAACAATTACAGGGTCATCATGTAGTTGTGACTTGTAAGAGCTATACACTATGCAGTTCAACCAATTCCATGCAGTCAACAAATTTTCTATTAAAGCTTAAAACATCCAGCATGTACTCCACCAACTCCTTTGCAAAATTGGAATTATGATACTACTACTACTAGGATGGTTTGAGTTTATATACCAGAAAAATGTAAGCAGTTTTAGCAAAATAAAATATTCAAATTTCAAACAGTCAAACTTGAAAACATAAAAGGAAAACATCAGAGAAATCCAAATGTAATGAATTCTTGAAGCAATCTGTGCAACCTAAACAAAGAAAAACCATTCACTATTAAATAAAGAAAGAGGAAATTAAGATATATCTATGAATTTCAAAGAGTCTAAAATCTTTTTTCAATATGCAGGAAGCAAACAGCTTCAGAAAATATCCTAATAGCAGTTGTTATTTTCTAAAAAGTCATCACCAATTATGAAGAGAAACCACTGAACAATGGACAATGACATAAACTGATTTAGAAATATCCAAGGAAAAATATTCCATAAATGGAAGTAGAGAGGGAAATATTCATCACTAACCTGATTGATCTTGACTGGTTGCATTTCCAGTGATTCCAACTGCAGAAACCAAGGATGCCAGAGACTGGGAGACCTGTGCTGTTCCCATGTTAAACTTTCGTAGTTGGTCAGAGGTCTGTTTAGTAGTTTGACTCATAAAAGAAGATAATGGCAGCCATGCAGCCATACCCTGCTGTCCTGAACCAGGCAGTGTGGTCTGGTTGCTGTTATGTGGTATTGAAGATGTACAAGAAAAACTATAAAAGCCTTTATTGGGATTCTGATATCCAACCCTTGACGTCCTACTCCCCATAAGATCAAATTCCTCATCTATTGGCTTAAGAAAATGGTGTTGCTGATCATTTTGCAAGGATGGTGGCATATGCAACAGATTTGGGTTTAAACTTGAGTTAGCACCACCTGTAAATCCAAGACTGTTACCTGCATTCTGGACCAGACTTGATGATCTACTCGCATTGTGCACTAAATTAGGGACTTCAGTCTCATTTGGCTTTATACTAGAGATCTGACCTGCATTCTGCACTGGACCATTAAGTCCAACATTCTGTTGCATACTTGATAATAGTTCACCTTGATCAATTTGTGAGGTTTGTAGCATGTGCAATAGATTTGAACTTAAACTTGAGCTAGCACCAACAGTAACTCCAAAACTCTTTTCAGACAAGGAAAACCTACCCAGAGTCTGCACCGGACCCAATGAACTACTCACATCATGCACTAAACTAGAAAGTTCATCCCCACTCAGCATTGTACTAGATATCTCACCAGCATTCTGAATTAAACTTTCAAGTCCATCAATTTGTCCTAGACTAGAAACTTCACCTGCATTTTGAGCTAGACTGGGAAATCCACCTACTTCATTGAAGTGACTTTTATAGGTGTTTTCCTCGTAGGAAGCATTTAGTTGTGGTTGTGGATCAAGAGACATGTCATTTTCAAAGGATCTGACCTCAGTATTAGTTCCAACTCCTAAAGTAAGAAAACTCCCATCGAGCATTTCAGGATAATCCGATTGACCTGCACTCTTTGTGGCATTATAGATATTTCTAATTTCATTACCATATTGAGCATGAAATAACACAGGCCTGCTAGTTCCATGGATGCCAAAATTTCCCATTAGCTGAGGCCTAAAACTATTTTCTTCAGCACCCAACATGCCCATTTGTGTGCCATCAGAAGCAGCTACATCTCCAAGAGTACAATATTCAGTTGGGATATTTTCAACACTGCTTATAGGATATGAGTCGAACATGAAATCTTTATAACTGTCAAGTTGGGAGACATTAGTCATCCAATCAATACCAGTTAGTGGCACACCCACTGAAGGAAAACAAGGAAATTGCAATGGCATATTTGAGGGCATGTCAAGAGCTCCAACACCAGTAAAATTGACACCAGTAACCTCATGATTGGGAGCAGTTTGACCGCTAATGCAGAAATTGATTTCTTCCATATTTTGTAATGGGAAATTGGAGTTTGGTATCTTCTCTACATGCCTAGGCTTTTCACTCCCCATTGTATGGGCTATTCTGAATTATGGAAATAGAAAAGAGGCCATTTAAAAAGACCATTTCTAACAAGTATGCAATTATTAAGCCTGTAGAGTGGAAAAAACATAAAATCAAAACTAACAATAACCGAAAAGTCTTGGAAAAACAATTACAAACAAAATAAGTAGTAGCACGTCACACCTAAAAGGCCAAGACAAACCATAAACATATCAGTGTAACCCAAGTCCTTTCCTTCAAAACTCAGAACAAACTCTGGAATCAACACATGTAGTTCATAATCGTGCTTGCAAAAGACCTCTAGTTAACAAATCATGTCCATCCTCTAAAACAAGCATAGATTAAAACTCTAAAAACTCGCAGGCATCTTCCTTCCTAACAATTGAAACCCTAAAATCACAGAAACGAAGCTTGAAACGATAAAAACCCCATCCCAACAAACACTACAAAACCCATAAAGAAAGACTAATCCAGAGGCCAAACTCGGTATCATCCGAAACCACGCCTCGGATTCGTACAGAAAAACGATCGAGAATTATAGAAATAGATAAACAGATGAATCGAAAACAGCTGATCGATCTGAACACGAAACAAGGATTAAATCGAGGATGAATGAATTATATAGTAACAAAAATGGGAAATAGCATCTTACTGAGAAAGTGAAACAGTGCTCTATTCGACCGATTCTAAGGAAATGATAAAACGAAATCAAGAATCGAAAGAGTTCGATGGGATGAACAGAGATATGGAATTCAAGCAAAAGTAGAGAAGTGGGGGAGAGAGAGAGAGAGAGGAGAAAACCTTACCAGTTAAGTCTGAAGAGGAGAGGGGGAAGTGAGAGCACTTTTTGTGTTTTTGGCGCTTAGGGCTCTTTAGAGTTTTTAAAGGGTTCGGTCTGGGGCCCACGTTGAAATTCTGGGGAACTACTACACGTGGCGAGTGGAGGATGAACCTAACCAAACCAATGGTAAAACGACAACGTTTGTAATAAAAAAATTTGGTTAAAAATACGGTACGGACTTTATTCTTTAATTCCTTTTTTCTAACATTGGATGATTTTGTACCTAATGTTTATTTTGGAACAGCACTGCCACTAGCTTGATATTGTCCTTCAGCAGTCACTGTATTAACCTGAGTTAGTACTACCATCTCCGTTGATTGCAGTTTCGAACCCATGAATTTCTTTTTTTATATCTCTTTACCCCCTCGTCGATTGTAATCATATTCAAAATATATATATATATATATAGATTTGAGAAAAAGTAGGTAGGAGAAATAACCACTCCACTCTTATCTCTTAGTCCTATTCAAAACTTGTTAGGTTACATAAATTTCTTAATTTTACATTAGGTTGATTAAAGAATACTTATTTTTTTTATTAAACATGATTTTGGAGTTTGTTTGGTTAGAATATCACTTTATTATTAAAGTTTTTATTAAAAAAATTATTAAAAAATGTGTTGTATGAAAAATTGAAAATTTTTGCACAAAAAGTTGTTAAGTTTCATAATAAAATTTTATTAAAATTTTATTGAGTTATTAACTTTATTGTATTTGGTAAGAAATTGATATAAAAAGAATTAATAGGTAAAATTCTAAAATGAACTCAATATA